TGATGATTATTTTTTTAGAAATTTGTTCATAAAACACTAGCGACTTGATGTGACCTTTTTTCAAGAGTTTATCACCGTTTCTTCTGGGTTATTTTTTAGATGAAAGTGAAGTTTTCCTTGGGTTATTGCTGATTATCATAAGAGCACATGCAAATTTTAAGTCACTATAATTTTTCAAAAAACCCGTGAATTAATTTAAATTTTTACAGGTAGCTTTTTACTAGTAACAGAAGTCTATAATAACAAATTGAATATGATAGCATCGTTTGAGTATACATATGTATAGCCTATACATCCTTAAGATCGTCCTAAGCATTTGCTTAAATCCCTGTTTTCTGTACAAAACAGGGGCTGGAAACATAGGATAGACAGAGCCTAGAGATAGGATAGATAGAGAGAATAGCAAATGCCTAAGCAATAAAGAACAAGCAACGACTCTGAATACTGGCCATAGAAAGGAACAGAATGCAAGTGAATGTGGCAAAAACGAATGTAATGGTTTTTAAAAAGGGAGGAAGACGAAAAGCCAGGGAGAATTGGAAATAAAGGAGAAATGTTATCCAAGAAGTGAGAGAATATAAGTTTTTGGGATTTATGACTAAGAAAATTTATACAAAACATCTAAATAGGCTTGCGAGCAAGGCACAAAGAGCAGGAAATGCGGCATGAGGTATTATGAGAAAATCAAATGTTGGAAGTTTGAAAAGAAGAGGATATTTAATGGATACGCTGGTGAAGATGATACTTTTGTAAGGGACGGCAGCGGAAAGAAAGGCAGGAGATCGAAAAAGTAACGGATCAATATGTTAAAATGATGCTGGATGTAAACAAGTTCATGGAGTCGGGTAGGGAAAAATTTGAATTTGAAGCCAGACAATGAGCATCCAAGTATCTTATAAGTATCCTCAAAATAAGTGAGGGAAGATGGCCGAAGAAATTTTAGAAATATATATTCCTAAGTCCATGGGCAAACCGAAATACATAAAAGTTAGCTAAGAAAATGGAAAGGACAATGGAAAGGGTGGGAGATGGTGCGACGATGCGAGGCTTAAGAGAAGGCATCGGTCTGAGGAGCCTGATAGGAAAACTGGAAGTAGGGTGCAGGATAATAAGGAATCAAACGAGGCAGGAAGACTGCAATCGAATTGACAGATCGAGATACTGCCCAGAATATAAAGAATAGAGAACTACAGTAAACTAGGAAAAGTACTGGCATGAGAAAAAGGCCAAGATGAACGACAAAGAACAATGTACGAGGATGAGATGCAGTAACGTGGGAAAGGTGGACAACAAAGAATATGTAGATGTGAAGTGCAGCCTCTGTGGAGCGGAAAAGGAAGACATAGGCCACATTTTGAACTGTGAGAAGTTTAGGAAGATGGTAAATAGTGAGCCAAAGTTGGCTGTAGAAGAAATAAGTAAGAGGTGAAAGTTATTATAAAGTGGGTGTTAACGGGGCACAGTTAAACCGGAAAGTTGGGAGTATTGCAGGTTTGAGAGAGCGACAAAGGCTAAGGAGAATTTAGAAAGGATACCAGATAGAAAAGGGCAGTAGAGTAATACAGCGTCGAAGTTTATAGATTAATGTAGATTAATTTAGATTAATAAAGATTATAGTTTGTAAGCTTGACTGTAAGGAAGAGACTATCTATTATATTCTTAAGCCTAATAAAGCAAGGATAGCTAATAAACAATACATACAATACATAGACTGCTTCTTACCCGAGTAACAAAAATATTAACCATTGCAATAGTCTTAAAATAGTAATTCATGTATAAAATTAAATTTACCTTTTCTAACAATTCCATTCTGATCAAACAATCTCTCAGCCAATGGTTGAGCGACCTCTTCAACCAATTTCCCATCTCCAAACTGAATAATTTCTCCAATAGTCTTAACTGCAACAGATCTAACTCGATAATGCTGATGAGAAAAATTGACTAACACCGGTTTAACGAAATTCTTCGATTGGTAATAAAATAATCGAGTCAAACACTTAGCAAACATTTGAATAGATTCACAGCTCTCTTTCTTGATAATAGGATAATTATCCTTCGCAGTATTAATTAAAATACTCGTCAAATCGTCAACGTAAGTCGATAACAATTCTTCGTATTTATTAATTATCGTTTTGATTAATAAAACTGATTTCAATCGAACTTCTTCTGAGGTTTCTATTTGCTCACTCGAGCCTAGTCTTCTATTTAAGATTGGAAATAAGTAGTTGATGTATTTGTCATCTGGTGGAGAGTCTTTTAAGAATAATTGCAGGATTTCTAATGTTAGGTCTCTACATTCTTCGACTGGGTCGTTTAGGATTCTGAGTAAGGGTTTGCTGATTGAGTCCCACAGTTCAGATGAATTGAACGAACTGTGTTTAGTGGATTCGTTGCATTCTTTCACTCCACTCCACTCACTGGATTCCTTTGATTGATTAGATTTCATTAAGTTGAGAATTTGTTTGAGTGCTTCAGATCTCCGCTTTTTCTCTTCAGAGTGTAACAGAGTGATAATCTTGTTAGTTTGTAGGCTTACAATTTCTGTAGACATCCTGTAACTACGTTATGTAATACAATGACACAGAAGACTTGATGATGAACTGAGAATTATTAGGTTTGAAATTTGTTTGGAGTTTACCATGGTAATATTGATTATACAGGTACAGCTCAACTTAGAATCATTAATCATTGATATACATAAACAATGCATAGAATCAACAGTAGCCTGTTTTTTATTTATTTCTGTCTATCAGGATGGGGAGATACATATGAGATACATTTTATTGCATATAATGTTTAAATAATATCTACGTATGAATGATGGAAGATTGAAATTTGGCAAAAATCTAAAGCAATATTACAACTGAATCGTATCGCAAACACATTTAAAAAGAAACAAAACACTAATTTCCTTATAATAGAAACAAAACTATTGACAACGATGCTACATTTTTTATATTATAGAAATTGTTACAAAACGTAAACTACTAATAATTGAAGTTTGAAATTTTATTGAATTCTAGAGCAAAATGATATACCTAAAACGTATTCAAAAACTGGTCAACAGTGGTAACATTTGAAAAAAGAATGCATATTATGTATATAAATTGTATATTTATTGTTTATAATTATACACTTATGTATATAATTTCTATACGTTATATCATGGCATGTCCTTAGTATAAAATAAATATGTAAGCCTTTTTTCCGAAAGCAGTATATGTCGAATTTTGAAAACAAGTGTTCAGGTCTGCACAGTTTCAGTTAAACATCTTATTTTCGTATCGCTAATAATAAAATAATATAATTAACTCGTAAATAAAACTTGAACTGTTAAAACTAGTATAAGTCCATTTATAATACGAAAGAGCATTCCATTCTTTAACAATTTTATTAATTATTGTATCACGTAATAAAATTTTTAATTTCAAATATTGTCTTTGCAACAACACATTTCGAAGTTTTCCAATATTTTCTACTCAACTCAAATGAACTCTTAAATATATCTCGATACATAAATAAATGGACCTATAAGGTCTTTAAAAAAAAATTGCTCATATGTTGTATATAATATGTACTTATATTACTTTAAGTGCGCAAAATCAGTCTTCGTATAAAAGAACTTTTCCTGTGCATCATGTAATTTGAATGAATTTTTTGTCTGTACGAAAGTACCATTTATAAGAAGACTGATTTCCTCGATTTTATTTTCTATCTTTTTCTTTTTAGGGTAAACGTATCATTTGTGACCAGTACCTTATTTATTCGAGACGTATTAAGCATTTTAGATTAATTTCCAATAAAACAAATTGCAGCGTGAAATCATTGTCTTCTATTATTTAATATA